TTGCTCTCGTTAAACATTTAATAAGATAACGACCTCAGTGTATGGCATAACACTAGTGAATGACATAAATTATTTTTTTACACATTTTATGATGGTTATGGTTATAAACATTGATAGTATTTTTTTTTTCAGGGTTAAAAATTAACAGTTGTTATCACTTATCATTATTTAAAGTACGTACCTACATTGGAATGAATAACAAAGTTAAGAGAATCGTTATTGAGTATTTACGAATAAAAATGAATAATAAAAAACAAATAAAATAAATTAGATCATTTAAAATAACAATTTTGGTCAGCTAGTTAGTTTGTTTAAGTACCTAGTAAAATTCATTATTTTAAAAATATTAGTTAAACAATCATAAAAAATAGGTAATATTAAATGCATTTACTTTGAAAATATTGATAATGCTGTCGTTAACGTTATGAAATTTCCTACAAAATACTGTTACAATTCTAAAATAATGTATTGTTTAAGATTTCGACTTAGTTTATAATATATTATTTTATAGCAATGTATTTATTTATATTTTATACATGGTAACGTCGCATTTAAAATCTTACGGAATTTTATATATGAATATAAGAATTTTGCACAATCGCGTATGTATTTTTGATGGCTATTAAATCTGCATTTTGAAGAACGACTGCGTCGATTTTACGAAGTCGTTCTTCACCGATATATTTACTGGGTTTTTTTTTCACGTACATCAGTGCAGTATATTCAAATATCGTTTTTCGAGAAAAGTACTCAACGTGACTTGTATTATAAAACCGTTAATTCTTATAAATATTTTTGTTATATATTCAATAAAATTGGAACGATGTACCGAATTGAAATTATTCGTATTTTATATTTGGTAGCCCACTTAAAGATAATTGTTTATCAAAGTTGTCTCCCGATAAAAAAGGCTGTATATCACCGGTATAAAATAGAGGTCTTGACTTAAAATGGGAGTTGACATTGTACACGTGAATGAAATATTCGTATTCACGTATAATTAACACACGTGAATTTAATATCCGTGTTCACGTGTTTTAGTATTATTCACGTACTCACGAATAGTAAGTGATCGTTATGTAGTATTGATAGACACTACAGTGCAAAAATAAGGTTTTTTATCCACTAGGCAGCCTGGGTGCAGTAGCCAGTTAAAAGCAGCCAGCTGCCGCCGACGCGCGACGGACGAGTACGTAATGTGTGACTTGTAATAATGTTTTATTTACAATGATACGTCCGTGAAGTCCCTCGACTTTACTCGAACTCTTCAAAACCAATGCCATTTTTTTGCGAATTGTTTTCAACAATTTCGCAACTTACGTTTCGAAATTTGCAACTTTTTTGTAACAGGAAGCTGGCCCCCCGACTTCGTCCAATCTCCGATTATTTATTTTCCTAGATGTACCGAGTTCAAACCAGTGTGACGAAAAAAATTAATTTAATTTTTTTCCCTTTTTTCCAAAACAAGGAAAAAATAAATTTATTTTGGATGTACATAGAGACCTAAGCCATCGCTCCTTCGGACTAGTTTAATCGCAAAATACCCTGCGATTTATTGTGCGAACTTTTCTACCAAAAATCTTGTTCTGATGTATCTGTCAAATGTAGCTTATTTGCTGAAAGAAAAATTTATCTCCATGGTAATTAAGAGAAGTTGTTATTTGATTTTTCAAGTGGTTTTCATCATATCTGGGAAAAACCGGGAAAAAATGTCAGAGGAACGGAAAATGTACGAAATGTAGGTATTAGTAAAAGAAATATTACGGCCTTTTTTTCTGTGTTTAGCTTTTCTACCGGCAATTGTGCTCCGATTTAAAATTATAGCACTTTTTCTGAAAGGAAAACTGACTGTAAAGGAATTTAATGGAGATAAATTTTTAAGTTTCCCAGAAGTTTTCCTAATAAATGGAAAAAATCGAGAAAAAATATGGGAAAATCGGTACAATATTAAAAACATATTATTAAAAAAAAATATATAATGCCTATTCACATTTTAAGATTTCTGATTTATATTCCAAATAATCAACGTTTGAAAATGCAGAAATTTCAAAATATTCAAACTAAATTTTTAGGTGTTTAGTTGTTAGGGGGGTGAAATTGGGTAAAATAGACTGACCGATCTCTAGTAGACTTTATAACGAATTCAGATTAGTTTTCAAAAATGTTATAGCATTACTACATCGATCAGTATGATGGCATAAAAATTGGATGTTTTGGCTAAAATAACTGTCCGCCACCGATCCCCTTAATTAGTTTACTTTAATATGACATATATATTGTTGAAAAAGCATCACTGTCAACTGAACTGAGCTCAGAATCGTTTTTTGTTAGCAATGGTTTATCGTTGCTTACAAATATACATTAAATTACCTATAACAGTGGTTGCACCCATGTCTTTTTAAATAACCAAAGTAATAAATCAAACCAAAACTTACCTAAGTAGCAATATAATAACTTAATTTTTTATTTTATTTTTTAATTCTTGTTTTAATTATTGTATGTTAAAAACAAACAATTTTAATTTTATGAAAATAATGTAGACAAATGAAAAATAATATTACTGAAAGTAAAGCTAAAAGAAGATTATTACTTTTATCTGCGGACTATTCAATAACTGGAGGAACAAAACAACGGATAATCCGAATGTAATAAATCCAAAAAATTTTGCGATAAGAGATCGCTTGTTATCAATGTTGATGTAGTGGATGGCAGTACACAGATTGAACTGCACTTATATGAGTATAATAACGCACAATATAATTTGTATTATAGTCTGGGCATAACCGTTGTCCTGGCGCAAAAAAAAATAATTCATAGAAATTTTAATTGTTACATTATCACATTAAATTACACACTTTTTCTATGATTTTTCGTACAATGTAAATAAGATTTATGAAAAATACAAAATTATTTAAAATTATTTTTACATAATAAATCATTATATTATTCTTATCAGCGATATAATATAGTACCAAACCATGCAACGTTCTAAACATCTAATATACTTCAATTATACAAACAATTGCATTATAAAATTTCATATTTGGAGTTCCTGGTACATAAAAAAAATGTATAATAATAAGCAAATGCTATAAAATCCGAGCCCTGTACAAATGTATACCAAAACTACCGGGGTTAGGTTAAGTAATTTTTCATTGACAATAAATTCTAAATTTCTAAATCTACGACAAATGTATAATAATAATATGTCAACAAATTATTTTTATAAAGTATGTATAATGTTCTTTTGTACATTTTTCACACCAAAATATGAATAAAATAAAAAAAATAAATACGCTACAGTCGCTTCATTCAAGTACCTACTAACTTGTTATTAAATATTATTTTTTAGGTATCTGTTAGTTGATGCAGTGCATTATGCTAACGACCATTATGTTGCATACATAAACAAAATAAATGTTTGTGAATTACATAATGACTTGGCTAGAAAAATTTTAAAAATTAAGACATGTAAAATCAGGCCACATGTCTTAATGTATGTGTTAAGTGGATAAGTACTTATAGAGATCGGACAAATTCGGGAGACTACGTGACTACGTGACTACGTGAGACTAGGTTGCCCCTCCCTAAGAATGAAATCTTTTTTGCTGCGTAAATACGGAGTTGCAAATAACAAAACACTTGATGTGAATTTTTGTAAATAATTTGCAAAATAATGACATGTGTTTGGTTTAAATCGAACAAAGTCGGGGGGCTAATTTCACGGATGTCACAATGATATACTGTGCGTTCACCCTAAGTGGTACTACTAAATATTTAAGTTGAATGACCTAGTATTGAAATGAAATTTTCAGGGAATGATAGGGAGTACCCAAATACACATTTGCAGATTCATTTTAAATTTCTAACCAATTTGATGCACGCATGCGGAATACATCTTACTTTATTTCAAATGGCAACACCATTTTTTCTACGAATTCGGTTAGAGTATTTTTTTTTAAAATAATTTTCCTGTAAAAAATTTTTTTCTAATTACAAAATTGGCAAAAATATATGTATGTTAGTTATGTATGTTGAAGTTTAATATTTACGAATAATCTGTTATTGACGAAATTTTAATTTTGTTCAACTTATACTCGAAAATCGAAATGATATCTCCGATATTTTGAAATACTTGTTTGTGGATAGGTATAAGACACAAACAAATACTTTTTTGTTTTCGTAATTTACTCTTATTTTTTCATTTATGCTTCCGAAATAAATTGAAGGTAATGCAAATTATAAAAATAGAATATATTTTTATATATATATATAAATATAAATTTATTATATTCTAAAAATAATAATAATAGAATATATCTTGATCACAATGAAATTCAGTATCCAAAAAAAAAATAAAATAACCAATACTCACGTAATCGTTGTCGTTCGGTGTGCAGCGTTGCTGTGTACAATATATAGATTAGATAATAATCTACGTGCATATTTAAAAAACAAAAAATATAAAAAAAATCATATTCATATTATACAATACAAATATACTATAGGTGTAGGAGAAAATCGCTAATTATTAATATACATATCGTGTATCATTGCTATCCTTGCCATCATAGGACGATACTTTTGAAACTATTTATTCAGTCAGTCAGTTTTCAGTCACTTACCGGTATATAATGGATTTAGAGGAGGCTACTATTGTTTATCTTTTGGCTCAAAGATGTAAGAAACACAGAACAAAAAAAACGGTATTGAATTCATCCTCTATTTTTGGAACGACATTCAATGGGGTTATTTAATAATTATTTTAAGGATCTTCGAAAATATCTGGATCATTTTGCTAACTACACAAGAATGCCAGTTCATTTGATGAACTTTTGATAAATAAAAGACATTCAATATCGGTTATTGACATTCGTATGCAAGTATGTTTAACCACAGAAGAAAAATTGGTAATTACATTGAAATGAGTATATAAAACAAACATTTTAGTATAATATTTATTGTATTGAATGAAATTTTATTTTAAATTTAAAAAAAAATTATTCATCAAAAAGTTCAATTACATCAGATGATTGAGATACAGTTGATATATCTGAGTAAGTAGCTGATAAAGTATCATCATAATTTATCATAAAGCCGTTCTGCATATCTGAAAAAGGTGTGGAATGTACACGAGAATTTTGCCCACTGCTGGATGTTCCTGGACTTTGTCCATGATTTTGTTGTATTGAGTTTGGATATTGTCTACCATTCGAGGTCGAGGTGCCTGGTCCATAAACTCCTAGTCCATAATTTGTTTGTGATAGGCATCTATAGTGATATTGGCCATTATCCATAGTGATATTGTTTGAGACTTCTGATCCATATCTAAAGCCATATGAGCCAGCAGTTAACATTTCTGGAACATTCTGAGAATAGCCTTGAGTTTCTCTTGTCATCGTATTTTGTGCCTTTTTTATTACATTCATAAGTTCAATTTTCGTAGAAAGCCTATGATGATCTGGAATTTTTTTGAAATCATCCAGCAATGAAAGCAAAAATAATCGATCTGAATCAGATTCTCGGTTCCTTTCATAATCTTCTCTTGCTGGGATACTTTCTTTCGGTACTTCAACCAAATTTTCATTGTCCTTTTTCTTTTTTTTTTGAACAACTAGTGAACGAATTTGAAGATGAAGGTCTTCGTTACCTCCAAGAACGCCTGCTTCATTAATACTAGCTTGAGTTCTATTGCTTACCGCTGTTTTCCGAAGAAACTGTAGTTGTTGGAAAAAAATATAAGAGCTTTTACGTGAAGCTGCAAATCCACTTTTAGCACCTGCTAAACATTTCAATTCCTTGCTAAAACGTCTTCTGATTTTCTTCCATTTTCGCTGTAGAGATTTACCTGAAAAATAATTATTTATTTCAGATATTTCACTGCAATGGTTCTCAACCTTTGTGTGTTGGCGACCTAAGATGTTTATATAATTTTTCATGTGGCCTTTTTGAATATAATTTCCATCAAAAGCTACTCATCCTACCCAACCCACTTAATTGTTCAATTACCATAACTAAAAGAAACTTGTACCATTCATATTTTTAAAATTAACATACACGACTAAACGAGTAATGGGTGCCTTGTGAAGTCCACAATAATGACAATTGATACTAAAACAAATGCTGGTCAACAACTTACCAAATGTAATCGTTTCTGTGAATATGATCCGATAGAGTGTATTTATAATATTGAAAAACTATAGTCTAAGAGGCTGCCCCCCCACATTGCCGTATAGACTTCAAACCGGTGCCAAAATATTGCGTCTAATTTGCAATGAAATTTTACAACTTTTCAAAATTAAGTTGTAGCGATAAACCTTCGGTATAGAAATACCGGTGCATGTACGAAATATATATTTTAATATTATTATGTTTTTTTACATTTTCCCCGTATTTTTTTGACGTTTCAAGACAGCTGAATGACGCTCAATCTATTAGTTTGTATCGATAATTTTAGATTATACATTTAGTAATAAAGTAATAATTAATTTTTTTACAAAAATAATTTTTCTTATTTCGAAATTATATATTTTTAATAATTAAAATTAGCAAATAAATACTTTTTCCGGGAGAACGGCATTTAAAAATATGTCTTATTGAACTCTCTCCTAATAGTTTATCGTTAGTAACGGTTTATAGTTGAGTACAAATATAAACTAAATCATTTTTTGTATCCTAACTTCTTAACTACTTATCTAGCAATGGCCGCATCCATCTCCAATATCAGTTCTTTTTTTTTTTTTTTTTTTTTAATTTGTACAAGTGCCATTAGTTTGATTCGATTTTATACTTAAAAAACACGGACATACTTCACACAATGGGTTGGTCACAGTTATTGGTAAGAAGTTGGGAAGGTAAGAAAATGCTTATTTAATTAGTATATAAATAGTAAATAGTTTTAAATAGGTTTAAATAGTTATAAGCAGTGTTGCGCAAAAATAATTAAAAATGTATCTAGATAGAGATAAAAGATAAAACACTATTTATCTGGATAAAAAAGAATAAAATTGTTTTAATTTTATTAATTGATATACAATCTTTTTGTCAATTTATACTAGATTCTACAATCTACAATTTTTATTAGAATTTAGAATAATATAAACGTTTTAATCGTTAAAAATATATAATTTCGAAATGAGAAATATTATTTTTGTGAAAAAATGAGTTATTACTTTATTACTAAAGGTATAATCTATAATTATCGAAAACAAATTGATTGATTGTCATCAAGCTGTCTTGTAGCGTCCAAAAAATACGGATAAATATAAAAACATAATAGTATTAAAATATATATTTCGTTTATGCACTGGTATAGAAGGTTTACGGTTACAACTTGAGTTTGACAAGTCGCAAAATTTCGTTGCAAATTAGTCGCAACAATTTGTCACCTGTTTGGAGTCAATACGTAAATATGTGGAGGCTGCGTGAAGTTGGCCCCCACCGGAAGAAATTGAAATACATCAAAAGTATTGAGTTGCAAAATTTTTTTTTTCATACAATAAAGTGGGGGGCCAACTTCACGAACATGATGCAGATTATAAGTTCACTTATATAGATGTTGGAGTATACGGGAAATTTAGCGATTCGTTAATTTTTAACCATTATTTTTTGCATGCAAACTAATTAATACAACTTTGCGAATACTGGAGAAAAGTCACACATCAATTAATGGAATACTAATGCCATATGTAACTGTGGGTAACGAGACATTTGGTTTATCTGAAAATGTGATGCTTCCTTATAGAGAAAGGAGTATAACCAAAAAAAAAAAAAAAAAAAAATTGATTTTTAACGGTCAATTGTCTGGAGCTAGGCGTTTTATTAAATTTTTTGGAATTCTGGCAAATAAATGGAGAATTTTCATTACCCAATGAATGTCCGAAATTAATTTGTAATCGCTATTATAAAATATGCTGTTTGTGCAAGACACATTGTACGTCCCTTCAGAACTAGAAACACCCCCTATAGGTACTTTAAGCAGTGAAATTCGATCATCAATGGCATACAGAAATTTATTTTATGATTATTTTAGTTCCGCTAGAATGGCAAGACAGGGTAGCATCGGGATAGAAATTACAGAATTATTTTTTTTAAATTTTAAATTCATTCCTATTTTCAAATTATATTATCATTAAATTGATTACATTAATTTCACTTTAATAAATAAATAAAGATTTACCGAATATGTTTTTTTCATTTTCTGACAAATTCTTCTCACACATTATATTTGTAATTTCTTCCCATTGTCTTCTCTTTAAATCTTGATCGCTGTATTCGTCAGAAGACATATCCCAAATTGCTTTTCGGCATTTGACCTCCTGGATCAACTTTTCTGCATCGAAAGTCATCGCGGTATTTTCTTCTTCTTCTTAAAAAAATTGTCTTCGAGACGTGATGAACGTAAAATACGTCTGACTGTTTCGGCTGGTGTGCGGAGACTGGCGACAGTCACACATACTCACTTGGTTCCGCTGCGACTGTGTGCAGCCAGTTGGCTGCCATGCATTCGTGCACGTTCTATTGAACGCTCCAGCCGTGAATATACGTGTTCACGGATTTATGAAATTCACGGTTTTATAGAAACGAATGTTAATTTCATATTAATACGTGAAAAAGTGAGCTCTAGTATAGAAAATCAATATTCGTTTTTTTTTTTTTGTGCGTGACATTAGTTGTTTAGCACGTTTGACAAGGGTGAAAATTTAATATATTATAAACGTATTTTAAAATTCCAGTTTTAAAGAATGAAAACCTAAAAATACATATACGTGTGGGGTCTTCACTAGTATGTTTTAAAGGACAACAGTTTTTTAAATGCCTATAGATTTGTAAGTGTGTATGGTTTTCGGTTTTGTGATGTATATATATCTATATATGTATGTACGAGCAGGTGATAATATGATTTTGCTCAGTTTTTTCGGGAGGGGGGTTTATGATTGAGCACTGTGTCGGAAAAACGAAGATTATGGTTTTAAATTATTTCGATCGTACAGAAGCGTTAGGTTAAGGCGCGTATCCATTACGCGCAGCGAACCCTCGAACATTAGCTCGCACGGCAGCCGCGCTAAATGGATGCCTAGTTGCCGCGCTCGAACATGCCGCGCGGCGAGCCGATTTGTGTCGGTAAAAACGCACGCGACAAAAGAGCTTCAATTTATTGCTCGCGAGCAGTGGGCACGATCATTGTCGGTTCAAATTTGCTCGTGCGGCAATTCGACGATTTTGCTACCTCCATGGATAATGAAAAGTGTCGTGTTTTAATACAATTATTATATGAAACTAAAGATTTTTTATGGAATAGTAAATCTTCCACTTTACCACAATAAATCATTAAGGGAAGATGCGTGGAATGAAATAAGTTCAGTAATGAACATACCTGTTCCCGAACTGAAGAAGAAAATGGCAACGGTTCAGGTGTCTTATAGAAAAAAGAAATCAAGAATAGCTAAACGTTTTATTACTGGTTCTGGTAAGTATTACACAGTATGGTAAAGAATACTTAAATAATTTATTTAAGGTGCTACAGAAATACTTAAAGAAGTATTTAAAATATATATCGAATACTGATCAGTCAAACAGGGGCGTAATTGAAAGGGACAATGGAGACACTTGCTCAGTGACGTACCTAGACCCTTCTTAGGGGGGGATTTTATTGGAGGGCAAAATAGTTTAGTTGTATGTTGATGGAAAGGCTAGAAACCTATAACGATGTTTTTCCTCCTAGTTTTACCCAATTACGCCACTGCGGTCAAATATACCTGAGTAATACACAAATATTTTGCAACATTGGTATTATTTAAAGTGGCTAATAAAAAAATAGTGTATAATATATTAAAACTTTTTATTTTGAATTTTACTTGTTGATAATATTTATCATTAATAATAATAGTAATTATAATGATTTTTAATTTTAACATTAACTAAACAACTTACTATAACTTAAACAATTTATGAATTATTAATTAAAATTATTAATTGTATTAATATTATTATACACATCAAGTAGCTGAAATGTATTGGTTTTACATGTTTTTTTTTTTTTTATGTGAACACTTTTTCTACAAGAAATCTTACTTCGATTTATACGATGTAGACTCTTTTCTGAAAGGAAGATCATTTTTTGATTTTCTCAGGAGTTTTTTCATCAAATGTCTAAAACTAAAAAAAACGGAAGAAAACGGAAAAATATATGAAATAAATGGCTATTTTTTTTCGGTGGATAACTTTTATACGTCTATACCTAGTATTGCTCTTTTCTGGTAGAAAAAGTGTTTACATTAATATAAAAAAAATTAACTTCATTATAAAACCAATTTAATTTAAATTTAAATATTGGCACTTGTTTCCAGACATATTTTTGAATTTGAAATTAACTATTATTTATATGCAGTTAATATATATGCAGTCTACACTCTCAGGGCCAGCTTAGGTGAAAAAAACGTAGACACAATATAAGCCTATGGTGGTTTTAAGAATATTTTTTAAAGATGTGGCATTTTTTTACATCATTGTGAAAGCAATTTAAAATGTATATTATTTTGAGATTTATTTTTAACATTGCATTATCATTCGTTGTATTAATTTGTACATATTATGAAATTCCGCACATTATATGCGAAAATTAGTGATGCATAGTGTTAGTTATATATGCAGAGCATGTATATTTTTAGTACAATCGAATTGGTCGGCGATAGATACAGTGATAAACATTTATATTTAAACACGTACAAACCGAAAGCGTTTAATAATAAATGGTATTAGTGACTTTTTTTAGGGGAGGAGGTGAGGGTTAAAACTTGTGGCCCCTCTCAAAAAAAAAAAAATAAATAAATAAATAAAAAACAAGCGTACGTAATTAAATATTGCTCAACAAAAATTCTCCCCCCCCCCTAATAATTGGTTATTAGTTATAGGATTACACACAAGGGTATTACTTGTTAACCTTTAATTCAAAATTAAATCTATTCTTTATAGTGGATACTGTTGCCATTGTTTGGAGAGAAGCACTGTAGGCACGCAACCCGATTTATTTGTTTTTTATAATAGTTATTGTAATAATAGTTAGTGTATTTTATCGTTTTAAAAACTAATTGGCAATGTTCAAATTATTAGCCGGATTATTTTTTTTTTTGTGCTACAGTATGCGGTACCTTGATTTGTTGTATGAGTAAAAAAATTACGTTGGATTAATGGTACAAGAGAAAACGTCTTATTTTTAAACCGAAAAAAAAAATTGTAAAAATATTGTATATAGAGTTTAAACCCTGTACCCAGAGATTCCCATGCAATAAATTGACCATTGCGTCACAATAATTATTAAATTAAATAGTGTAATCATTTGTATATTAGCGTTCTCTTTAAGGTGATTCCTAGATACACGAGGGCTTACGTCAAAATCTTAAATAAATAATTCTGGAAATAATTTGAATAAATAATTTTGGAAAAATCTTGAACAGCAAACCTTTGAACGGCAAAACTATGAATGGCAAACATTTAAACCACAAAATCTTGAACTAAAATAATCTTGAATGACAAAATCTTGAACGGCAAAATCTTGAATCGGTAGTACCCATTAGATAATTTTCTAAGGGATACAAATTAGCAACTTATTTGACAGACCCGGTCATGTCAACATCGAAATATCCAAATTGGTTCTAAAACGTCCATTTTAGTTTCCGGGTTGTTACGAAGGGTATATCCGAACTGGTTCTCAGATTATTTTAAAAGAAAATTGAGCCTCGCTCAATGTTTTGGGCTACATTGGTAATGTACTAATATACTACACCGACTAGCATAAATATTTTGCTGACTCTACATAAATCTAGAGCATTATTGTTTCAATATTGGAATTAACCAACCTATATAAAATTATTTTAAGTATGCACTAATGCAATATTTCTTAAACTATTGCTTAATTTCTATCTGTTAATTTTTTTACTATCATCTTTTTTCTGATCTTTTATCAGGCTTTATGTTTATTTTGGAAAAAATATAAGAATAGTATTGTTGATTGTCCAGTGTTGTTTTTGCTCAAAAGTCATTCAAATCAAGTAATGAGTATAATAAGTACAGTAAAATTAATACTCATTACTAAAAAGTAATAATGCATAAGCTAAAAATAAATCGCAAAATAGAAGCAAAAAATTGAACGAATTTCTGAACTTAAACAATAGGAACTGATCAGAAGAAAGAAGAAAGAAGAAACAGAAGAAATTACAATTTGGTCCAACCATTAAGTATGAATATTGCAACAAATAAATCGAGTGTTGTATTTTTTCCAAATAGGTACATAATATTGCCTTCTGAGTTTTGGGATAAGGCTTCAGATTCGATGAGCCAGACGTTAAATACGTTAGTACGCCACTGATACACTCAAAAAATATAATTAGGGATTTACAACAGTAATGCTCCAATACCTAATCAAAATTATGTATGTACCAAATTTATAAATTTGGCATAAGCAGAATTTCTAGCGAAAAACTAGTGTTCAAATTTTAATAGTACGGAATAATTTTTACCCCTGATGTTTATCATGGATGCAATCACAACGTTGATTTATAATTTGGAAGGGGCAACTATAGACAATCATTTATTATGTTGATTTTGCCGTTCAAGATTTTGCCATTCAAGGTTTTGCCACTCAACATTTTTTCGTTAAAAATTTTCTTTTTAAGATTTCGCCGGTTCAAAATTTTGCCGTTTAAGGTGTTTGCGTTCAACATTTTGACGGTCCCTCATACGCGGGCTGGTCCGTGTTCTGCAATATTTTTCCAAGTCATTTTATATTAAAACGTTCCTTGGCGTTACTACGGTTTCATTTAAGAAGGAGGAAAATACTTATATTTTGTTTGGGTTAGATATTAATTAGATACTGTTATAAATTCATAATTTTTAGTACATTAATTAGTTTGCTTTCTACATTATCGAAAGTGACCAAAATTGTATCTTGATCTATGATTGCTAGCAAATTCTACATTACTGTACATTACTGTACAAATGGAGAGGTAAAACATTTCTTATCATTGCTCCAGAATAAGATTGATTTGCCTATATTTTGCCCCTTAGATTGAAGAAAAATACTGCTTTTATACAAATTTTATTGGAGATTTTAATGATAATTTTTTTTCAGTAATGGTAACTTACATACTGTAAGTTATAATATTTTATTATTACTACAATAGATAATAGTGAAAAAATAATTCTATACGCTATGGGAAATACAATTTTATATGTCTTCGCTTCATTAATATTACCAAATACGACATAGTGCTTGAGAATTTGGGTGGTTGTCATTTTTTCTTATTACGTAAATGTACTGTATAATACAAAGTTTTTGACGCCATAAACTCACTAAAATATGAATTTTATTTGTATACATTATTGTTCTATGCAAAATAGCAAAACAATTAAGTACGTTTATTAATAATATCAGAATCAGATTAATTTGACATAAATATTTACTTTTTTTTTTAAAAATATTACATATTAATTATTATTTTGTATACCGAATACTTATATTTGCCTTTTATAGACGTGATAACAGTTTTATTTTTCCAGTTTTTTACGTAATTTTTAATCGGTAGGTACTCTATGGATAACATTTTTAGTCTAAACAGATATGCTTGAAAATTTAACAGGTGGTTCGTTATAAATCTTACTTTGTTATTTTAAAAAAAATTGATTTTAATGTAGTGCTTATTTTTTTTTATAGAAAATTTAATATCTAATTTTGACAAAAATCTTAAATATTCCTGCCTTTCAAAACATGCATAATCAAACTTTGCTCCAAATCGTGTTTTGTTAGCAATGATTAATTGTTAAGTACAAATATAAGCTGAATTTCTCTCTATATCCTGCCCTCTTAACTTCTTACCTATAACAGTGACCTACCCGTCGTATGAAGTATGTCTATCTTTTTTATTATAGTAATGTTACAATAATACTGGCACATAAAAAAAAGGGATTTTCTTGTTTTTCCTTGTATTTTTCATATAATATAACAGGGCTGCATTGAAATTAATGTTTTTTAATCAATAAAACATACAGAAACGGTATCGTCTTTTTCATCTTTTTATTCGTTCTCCTCGACTTCTTGGCTCACATCCGGCCATTCGATGTTTTCACTGTTGTCGTCAGACGCGTTCCGTACAACTTTTTGCTTGTCGATCCGTTCCAAGCACGGGACTAATTTCGTGAGGTACGGCCGTAAGTTCGCCGTCGATCGTGGATCGAAACGATTTTGTGACACGATTAGCGTCTTTAGTGATCCAAGACAAGCCAACTTAGCTAGTTCATTTGTATCGGCCAAATGGTTTTCCCTGAAACCGAATTTTTATAACAGTGACTGCGCCTTATTATCCTAGGACGTCTTTTATTTTGTAATTTAATGTAATCTTATAACTTGTAATTATGTTGATGTGTAGAGGCGTAAGCCCATCATTATAAATAAATAAATAAACAAATTATCAATAGATTGGATGAGGTGCTATGGAATCAGGCAACTAATAATAGCTCACTAAAGGCACTTAACAACCGTGTTAAAAATAGATACATTAATTTATCGTATTATATTATGAAACAAATCTAGTCAAGATGTAGGTACTAGCTATCCAATTACTATTATAGCATACTCCATAGTGAGTATTCCTATACTTTATTTTTGTTAGCTAAAACTTGGAATGTACCTATTTAGGTATTTCATACAATGTGTATTATTATTATTAATATTCATGTAATTGAGTATCATTTAAGTGTCCTTTATGGTTTTATTGCAGTCATATCTAAGAGTATTATATATTCATTAATGAATAATTTTTTAATAATGCCCTTTAAAGTTTAAACATTAATTAGAGTAGTTATTTTTATGAAGAGAGACATTGATTCAAGTCAAATGCTTATGATCACAATAAAAAATGTATACTATATAGGTTATATATTTGGATATACTATATTGTTATAATATTATGTATGTATATTATAGTATATTTGTATTGATGTAAATATTGTTTTTATTCTATGCATACAAAAATCAATATTTAATAAGTTACTATATAGAATTTGTAACTATTTTAGTTTTTGAGTGTAGCGAATAATGTATTGGTTTAACAAAAGATGTTTATTTTTTTCCTTTTTTTTTAATTTTCTTACTGTATAAAAAATTTCTCATAATATTTGTTTAATGTACCGATTATCCTGTTTTTCAATGTTTTTTTCCCCGTAGTTTACATTTGCTGGGAAAACTCTTGGGAAAATCGAAAAATAACCCCCCTAAAGTACTTTTCCGGTCAGAGCTTCTTTTAAGAAAAGTGCTATTATTGTAAATCTGAGCAAAATTGCTTGTAGAAAAATTGTTAATCGAACAAAATAAGACGGTAATATTTTTAACCAATACCTACATTTCGTACATTTTCCCGTTTTTCCGTAATTTTTTTCGGTTTTCCCATTTTTTTTTGAGAAAAATCCTGAGAAAATCGAAAAATGACCTCTTTAATGTATCTATTGGTATCAAAAAAAAAAAGACGTGCTAAAAATAAGTGTACATCTATAGTTAGATTTGATTAATTGGTTAATGAGATAAGGAATTAAAAGATTGTATATTGGTTTGATCAAGGATATGTTTGAAAGCTCAAAAACGAGTAGAAGGAGTGTGTGTGGATTAGCAGTTAAATTAGATAAGCATAATTGCTCGATTTGAGTGCGCATGACAATCAAATTTACACGTGTGTATTAATATATGATATATAGCTTACCGTAAATTTAAATACGATAATTGTTTCAAATTATCGGTGATACCATCCAAAGTGGATATGCAGTTGGCACGCAAATTTAACCGACACAAATTTAGCAACGAGTCCAATCCCAGTAGACTTTCAATTTTATTGTAACTCTGTAACAATATTCCGATTCTATAATTATAGCTATTATAATTGTTTTTTATAGTATATTATACAATTTTTAATCGGATTACCAAATACAATACTCGCAATGTTATGGACACGAATGTCAATTGTTCGAACACTTTAGTTTCCAAGACGTTTCTGGACAATGCCAATGTGACAAGGTTCGGGCAATCGATTTCATTACAATAGTTGCTGTTAAAGCTTTTGCTCGGTTCTTGTATCACGCGAGTAATTTTGTTATCTGTGATTAAAACAATGTGGTCATATGATTATATTTTTTTTAAACTATAGCCTAAACTAAGTATACTGTGCTTGGCTTATCATAACACATAAAATATGGAGATGTTAATTTATGTGCTGATGTCAGCAAAAATATGAAATGGATTAGGTTACTTACCCATTCAATTATGTTATAATACATAATATATAACTATTAAATGGAAATAAAACAAATAAGTGTACTTAAAGTAAGTGCAGTGGTGGTGCAAAATATTTTACTTCGGTTAATATGTTGTCCATCCACCTATCCGAAAAATTAAAATGTAACCTATAAAAATGAGTCCCCCTTTTCAAATGTAAATTTATGATAAATTAAGTATTATTAGCGGAATAAAACGGAATAAAAACGCCATAATTTGAAAACTTAGATTTTAAAATTAAAATCAAATCGTTTTCGGGCAGAAAATATGGTGAATTACGAATTTTATCTTATTGGTATTGTGATAAAACTATACGATTATGGGTAAAAACTTGACACGGTGATTTCGTTATGTAAGCCACGTGACGACAACATTAAAGAACAAATATTTATAAGAGTGTTGTTCGTTCGTAAAATATTATACCTTTACACTATTACACTAGAGTGAATGTTGAACGCTTCCAATAAATTATTGTTTACCACAAAAAAAAATGGACAGGGACAAGGAATAATTATACGATAATACAATAATATACCGTGTTGATAATGATTCCCGGTGTTTTCACATTCACACAAATAATACATATAATAATACGATCACAATCTACTTATATTATACTTACCGTTGAGTTCCAAACATTCCAAAGAAGGCTGCTGAAGACCTGAGAGTGTCGTGACTTTGTTCGAATTTAGGGTCAAAACCTTATGGGAAAGAAAAGAAGCAAAATAATACATGTATTTTTATACACACTATTGTTATTTATATTATATTCCTACTATCTCAGGAAAGCAAGGACATTATCCTTGCTTAACTCAGAATAGGATTTTAATAATCTATTACAATTCCCGATATTATCGTTCTGATGATGATAAAAACCAGTGGTGGCCCTCCTTTAATGGCCAGGAAACTGTTCTGAAATCTACAATGGGAGGGAGTGTTAATAAATATACATGGAGAGACGGTTAACATATTTTTAGACTTTGGGTATCGTTTATCAATAATTATTTTAAATTTAAAAATATTTAGCAACTATAAATTTATAGATACACATTTTTTTGAACTATTCAATACATACTAAATACTGTTTTAAAAGAAATTATTTTTAAGATTTTTAAAAATGTAGGTTTAATTTGGAATTAGGGAAAAATGTAAAATGCTTTTATGGATTTATTATATGATTGGAGTATAACAGATCGCATTTAATCATTATCAATTGACACAGCAGCCAGCAATACAGGACACATGGTGGAGCATGTAAGTTAATCGAAAAAACAATCGTTAGAAAATTATTATACCTCGCATGTTGTTATCATGAGGGCCGTATTTGACAGTGGGTTTTAATGGCATTTGCTCCGGGCAGCAAATGTTTGGGGGAGGGGGGCGTTCATCCGTATGCCGAAATACTATATGAAAAGTTTAAAACTTTTACCTTGAAAAAAAATAAAGATTGATTTATATTTATATGATTTGAGCTGAAAATGAATACGGTAACATTTCACGTAACAACATAATGACAAAGGAGCATCCAGCGAACACAAAATATTTTAGTATATAGGTATAAACGTTCTAGAGGTTATATGATTTATTTTTGAATAAAGTGAATAAAAACTTAACAGGTAATTCAGTCGTTCAGTGTCCAGTGATCGAACTGTTACGTGCATGGGTGTGTTCCGTTTCGTGTAGTTGTGTATGCATAATTAAATTCGGTTTTTTAGATTCAGAGTGTATCGTAGAATGTATTGGTGTTCCAAAAGCGTTTATTTTTTTAAATTTTTTTTTATATGAACACTGTTTTTACCGAAAAGTTTACTTCGATGTATATGTAGAAACTTTTTTGAAAGAAAATTTTTTCAGGAGTTTTCTCTTCAAATGTGAAAAATTGGGATTGTACTTTAAGGAGGTCATTTTTCGATTTTCTCAAGTTTTCCCAGCAAAAATAAATCCCGGGAAAAACGTAAAAAACACGGGAAAATCGGTTCAATATCAAACAAATATTATGATTATATATATATATATATATATTATTTATTTCTTATACATTTTTAATAAGTGTAATATTTTTTTTAAATGAAACTAAACAATTTAACCGAAGACCATACGACTTAGTATAAGATCCTTGGACTAAAGCCGGGGCCATTTAATTGGGAGTAGGACATGTGTTATTTTCTTTTTGTGCATCAGTATTCTTTACCAGTATACACCAGTTTTCTATATTGTACACCTTTATAATGTATTTCTAAAGATCTTTTATCGTTGTAATAAAAGCTTCCGGGCAGATAAAAAAAAAAATTTGTAGAAATCTAGAATATTACAAATATTTTCACTTAAACTTTTACTTTTAACAGTTAAAACCAGAAAATAAACTTCGAGTTTAAACCCATAACATAAAAAACTGCAATCGGCCGCAAAGTAACATTAACATTTATAATTAATTTGAGTAACAATAATACTTTATTTTCTCTGACTCGAACTTTTTACAAATAATAAAAAAATAATATTTTTTAACAATATTATTATTATTCAAATTAAGGCGTATATTTATTCTAAATAATTTTGTTATAATCAATGTCGAATAATCAATGTAAATAAATAATTTGTTGGCAAATCGGGTGTCGTCGAATCGTTTTGACTGCAAATCGGTACGATACGATTTTACCACATTCTCAGCTTGCTTACTATACTACGGAATAAAGGGAATATGTCATTAACACATAATAAATAAGTTCTACTATGTGAATTGTAAAATATGTTATTGGTAATATTTAAAAAAAAAAATCATATAAAAAGAGCAATTAATGGATCACCCATGACAGAACTTTTAGTTTATGTTATTATTGTTACTATTAGTTTATATTTACCTACCTATGTAAAACATTATTATATTTAATATAGTTTTAAGATTGTGGAAGCATTATTCTTAAATTTTTTATTGGAAAAATCAATCAATTTAATCCTGGTTATATTCTGATTTTAAAGAACATGCAATTAATAACTATCGTACAAGTAGATACCTGTAGATACGGCAGAGACGTCAAACATAAAGAATTTACTACGTTATGATCGGCCTGTACGAAAACCACGTGCACCAAGTCTCTAAGCACGTCCAAACTGATTAAATCCAAGTGGTTGTACGACAAGTCGATGAGAGACAAATACTTAAAGTGGGTGATTTCCTCAATGTTAGTCAAATTTCTGTAAAATTGTCGGCAATTAGTAATAATTTGTTTTAACATAAGTACTCAGACATTGTTTTCGGTAACTTTATAATATATATTAAGACCCTCATTTCTAAATTTTAGTATCGAGTAAACAGGACAGATTCGAACTTAATTTGTGAACATGAATTAATCCTAGTTTAATAGGTATTCTTAAATTATTATAGCTTTTCATGATTAATAATAATGTGCATATGTTGAAAGAGGAAATTTTGTCTACGATTAAATAAAAGCTCTAATTTAGTATACTGTTTTGAGTACCTATTTACTTAGACTATTATACATATCATCTGTTGATTTTACCTATGAGTAAGATTGATCTGAATATAAGCGTAACACAATCCGTTTCCCACTTGACCGATACGGCTTAGACATTTACTGGCTTCTTGAACGGTCAACGTGTTTTCGGGATAAGAGTCTTCTTCCAAAAGTGATCTGGACCATTGAAAATTTATCTATAGGTACAAAAACGACGATTAGATCGTTAAAAATACATTATGATATACATTTTTGAAAATTTGAACAGTGACCAATCATCTAGTACATCTAGTTACAATCAGTATTATATAATAAATTATTTAACATACACGGTTTCCTAGATTACTCTTGTATCCTTCTTCATAATCTTCAGAAAACCATTCACCCCCGGATTCACTCTGGTAACCGTAATTTTCCTTCGTGTTCAATATTAAGTGATCTAGTTCTTCTGATTCAGACGCAACGATCTATAACATAATATAGAAGAAAGATCTTCTAGAATAATGACGTGAGTTGCAACTACTGTTATAGATAATTTAATGCATATCTGTAAGCAACGACAAGCCATTGCTAACGAAATAACGATTCTGAGCGCAGTTCAATTAATAGTGATGCATTGTCAATAATATGTATATGCCATATTTTTGTAAAATAACTAAATAGGGATAGTAAATTTTCTTTAATAATATTTGTTTATTATTTTATCGCTTTTCCCGTTTTTCCTGCGTTTTCCCAGTTTTCTCATGTTTTTTCCCGATTATTCACATTTGCTGGGAAATCTCTTGGAAAAATCGAAAAATGACCTCTTATAGTAACTCCCCAATCAGATTTCCTTTCAGAAAGTGTGTTATCATTGTAAGTAGTTGCAAAATTGCTGGTGGAAGTTGTTTATAGACAAAAAAAATTGTAATATTTTACTAATGAACTTTATAGATTTTTCCGTTTTTCACGTTTTTTTCCATTTATTGGAAAAACTCTTGCGAAAATCAAAAAATAACCTCCCCAAGTTACCATGGAAATAAAATTTTCTTTCAGAAAATAAGCTATATTTGATACATCGGAGCAAGATTTATAGTAGAAAAGTTTGCATAACAAATCGACGGGTATTTCTCGATTAAAATAGTCTGAGTGGGCGAAGGCTTGGGTCTCAAGGTTCACTCAAAATGCAATTATTTTTTCCTTATTTAGGTAAAGGGTAAATAAATGTAAACAATTTTTTTTGAGACACGGGTTCGAATTCGTGAACCCTAGGATGAAAATAGGTATCTATAACCATTCAGCTACGACAAACCTACTTTAGAGAAGACAATATTTAACATAACAAAAAATATCCACATAATATCAGAACATTAAAAAGCTAGAATTTCGAAACTTAGTCAGTCCGCTCAATTCTGACTTCACCATCGTTCTTAAATCAGCTATATACATATGTTAAAAAATTGAAAATTTGGTCCACATAATTTGATATTAAAATTTCTTTATTAAAAAAATACTACATTAAACTAAAATTTTCTTTTTTTGACCATAAAGTAAGACTCTTAATGAACTTCTTGTTAAATTTTCAAGCATTTCTATTAAGTCTAACAATTTTATGACAAAGTACCTACCATATAAAAATCATGTACAAAACTAACCAAATTAATATGTTTACAAATAACTCAAAAATGGATTAAATTTTTAGAAAATTTACCACGTCTAGAAGAGACAAGTAGACATTTTTTATCCAAATTTTAAGTTCATATGTTCATTGACTTATAATAAATCTCCTGTCAAATTTTCAAGCATTTCTAGTCTAATATTTCTATCCACAGATTATCTACCAAAAAAAAATTACTTAAATAACACTTGAAATTAAAATATCTATAAATAGCTCAAAAATGACTAAAACGTTTTGAAAATTTTACCACGTATAGAAAAGGCAAATATAAGTTTTCCTAAATTTCAAATCTCAACGTATATTTTTAACTGGATTACATTTTTAGACCATGATAGTTGAGTGAAGAACTTTTATTTTGTGGAAAAGCAAAATTGTAATTTTAATTAATGAGGAAATATTTATGGGCGCAATAATAGGGTCTAAAACTGGACGAACTCAAATTCAATAATTCAAAACCAATAAGTCCCTCGCTACGTTCCAAATCTAAAATTATAAATTTTAAACACGATTTTGTACAATAATGGGCACGTAATAATTCGCCAGCAAAGTATATAGTTAGATTTAGTTGTTAGACGCTTACATTATCGTTGACAGTTTCATTCTTCATGGTCAATATTGCTCTTTGATAACAATTTTTCACCGGAAAATCATAAAAAAAAAAAAAAAATAATTAATGTGATAAGTTGATGTGATAGGACTATAACATTAAACTATAATTTACTGCAGAAAGTAAAATATCACCCAAACAAATATCATGTGGTTGAATGGATTAACAAATTATATAAACACGTTTGTGTCCCATGGATACTACAAAGCGTTAAGTATATACAAGCAGTATTAATTAGTTTATTTTTTTCCAGCCTATAAAAACCTGTGGAACTTTTCATCCAGAAATCTCGCTCCAATTAAAATATGGCAAGATACCTATTTTGTTGCATTTTGTGTCAAGTAAGTTGGTAAGTTTTTAATTAGTTTTTCTAGCAATTTTAATAATAATTGGAAAAACCAAAAAATATATAAACTAAAAAGAGACAAATATTCGTCTTAAGATTTTATTGTTTTAAACTTATTTTATTTTGTTTTGTTTTATAACAGTAAAGGCCGACGCTCAAAAAACTTCAAGTTATTTATATAAATATATTATAATACAAAAAAACATTTACAGATATTCAATTAGAATAATAATAATAACAGCAATAAAAATATTAATATAAAAGTCTAGTACTACGAGATGAAACTTTAAAATTGATTCGGGACATTAGATTAAATTGGATAAAAGTTTGGATAGAAATGATAAGTTCGCAGATCTCCTACAAACAGCAAGGCTGGGTAAATTTAAAACTTTGCGGATAGTTGATAGCCCTGGTAGGATTCCATGTTGTTCATTATTCACTTTTTTAATAACTAAAAAATGTATTATACAGCTACCTTTTCTTCAATGAGACAATTAATTTTAGTCTGACTTAAACACACCACCATAATTTTCAATGTTATAATACATTTTTGCGAGTATTTGTGTCAGAGAAGTCTTATCAGTACTTAGCTGGAATAAGAAAAATTGAAAACTATTGAGTGTTTCTTATCCGTGTTATGGTCATATGGACTATACATATGGGTAAAATACATTCACACTTTCACAGTATTATTGTCGTAAACTGGTTGTTTAACGTTTGATTTATTGCCATTCGATTCACTACCAATTATATATAATAATAATAAATATAATAAATTATAGTCATAAGTGATATAAATAAGCAATTCCAAGCAATTGTTTTGCGAGAAAACTCTTCAGTATATAATATTAACAATGAAACAATGTGCAATTTACTTGATGAAGGTATATTATGCAGACAGATTATTAAACACGTTTATAGCATCTAATTTATTTATATTTTATACAGTCGTGTGATATATTTGTATTTATATAATTTATATTATGTTTCTTTGAGTTAAAACTATTTTAATTTGTGTATTATAAAACTAACATAAAGTTTTTATTTATTTTATAAGGCAATGAAGTGCAAGCATATATTGATGTAAACCAATTGGTCAATATGGGGATAGAAATAACTAATGTAGAAAACAAAGAAAATGACGTGCCCACGTGCTTATTATATATGTAATATATATATGGGAGAGCCATAGTCAATTGATAGGACAACTCTGCGTGTGAACCAAAACCGTACCTGGACGAATAGGTATCCTGCGTGATAGGAGTTAATTTAATGCTGGGGGAGCTTCGATTTGTATTTTATGGTTATTCATGGGGCACAGCCCAGGCCTAAATTCTATTAACTATGAAATGATAACTAATCACACGTTTTGTATGATTTGTTTGTAAATTATTTACATTTTCCACACACCAGTCGATGAGTAAAAAATAGATACAATTAATTTCAAGATGTATAAAAAATTCAAATAATACATTGAAATAATAATATGGAAAGCCATGACTATGATTGACGGGTTGCGGGGGTCCCTCCGAGAATATAAACCGTCACCCGAATCACCGTCAACTCAGACGAGTCCACCACGATCGAATGCGAGCAATTTTGCGTCGATAATATTTGTTATTTGTACTTGTATTATTTTTGTGAGTTTTATTTATTGGACGAATATATATTTTGCTGTGTTATTTAATTGAACAAAGAATATTTTGTGAAGCAAACGAAGAAAACATTTTAATTATACAAAAATGTTATATTAAAGTGGGCGAAATGTTTTTCTCAAAATCTGGGTCTAGTTTCTCCATCATCTCGAAAGAAGTAAATATCGTAGACACTGAGTTGATTAAAACTAACAATGTGTTTCCCCAGATTTCAAGGAATAGATTTAATATAACCAATAAACTCTCTCCGTATACAATAAAAGAAATATTCTTCTCTCGTCGGTATACGTAACATCTGCAAAGAAATGAAAATTAAAATTGAAAGAAATAGATTATTTGTCAAAGACAATCTTCATTGAAGACATCGTTGAATAATTTGTTGACGGTGGAAAGAGTGGTGGTGACATTGGCGAATAGCTATGTGATAGAGGTGATGAAATTAGTAGATTACCCGTGCTCTGCATATTCATCCAGCATCCTGCTATTCATGTTGTTGCAAACTGTAATGTTTGGAGGAGGAAGGATGGAGATCGATAAATCACCAACGTTAAAATATTTTTTTTCTATGTTTGAATCGAGGACTGAGGGTGGCACTGACGGTTGTCACTTAACTCCCCGGCCACCATCGTTTATTTTAAAAGAAAATATCACATTTCACCGCGGGTGGGAGGTGGGATATTCCCCTGCTAGCCGCACCCTTATAAGCCGCTTTACAAAATATATTATTATATGAGTATTATATATTGGTATTATATAACTAATTTCAATTCTATCATCTATGCCCTGGGTGGGACCCTCTTCGTAAGCTGGCCACAGCCCGTTGCATCACGTCCACGTTTTGGTGGTTGGGCCTTCTTCTCGAGCCGACTCCTGCCCGTCGCTCTGGACATCTCATACCTTCTGTGTTATTAGATTGGCGTCACATGACACCTACTCTTCTCTTCCTCCTTTATCGATGTGATCATTGTTGATAAGGCTTCATTTTTTATTGTCCCTCAGCATGAATTCCAACATCGTGTCTGGTGAAAGCGCACCGCCAAGTTCTACCTCGACTCTGAACCTACGGTTAGCCTAGGCATCGCAACTAAATATAGTGTGTTCTGCGTCGTCGATGGCTACGTCAGAATCCTTCCAATCTTCTTCAAGGAGGCAGCGTAGCAGCCATGGCCGGTTAGTACTTACGTGAGGTGATAGCTCACTACACCGTGCTTCCTCTCGATCCAAGTTTGAATGACCAGGATCAGCCAGTAGGTCCATCTGCCCCGAGCCGATGAGTCTCACATATAAAGTCGTACGTGTTGCTCGTTCAGCAAACAAATCGTGACGTACAAGTGTATAAGTAAAATTATTCAAAAAATATTAAAATTAATTTCCCACAGCTTATCAAAATACTTTCATCATATTACATTCTATTTATCATATTACATTCTATTTATCATATTACTTCTATTCTATCATTCGCGTACTACATGCTAGGTTAAATTCTCAAGTATTACAAAAATCTCTTTTAATAATCTCCTTATCCTATAAGGGGTTACAAAATGACTCGTGGTTCTCTGTTCTCTTAAAAAGTGTAATATTTCAGTTATATTAGGCAGTGGATGAAACTCGTTTAATGTTATTTTGTTTAAAGCTCTAAAATCTATCATTATCCTAAACTTTTCTTTCTTACTTGCATTCTCCTTCTTTTTAACTGAAAACAGGGTAGCATTCCAACGACTCACAGATTACTTTATATGAAAATTTTACAAAGAAAATTAGTAAAATCAAAATTATCTGTATAATAAAATATGACGTTATAAGGAAATAGATTTTGCATTTTTATTTTTTTGCCATATAGTAATCCTTCCTTGTCATTTTTCCCGACACAAGATTATTATTAATTTCCAACTGTTTCAGTGTTCTTTTAAAGAACTCGAAAATATATACTAACTGATCTTCAGTTGACGGTAATTCCATAGGGAAGTACCCACAATTTTTCAAGTATAAATCCATATACTGTTGTAATATTGCACTAATAATCTTCAAATAGAAATTCAAATTATGAAACAATTTAAGTATTATGTATTCAAATTTAAAATCTAAATTTAAATGTAGGGTGAATTTATATTTACATTTTGACTTTCTTCGTCTTTTTTCAAATGTTTTATTATCTGTTTAATATCACTGTCCTCCAAATGTTTATAACTATGTCCGCGGTGACGTTTCATAAAATCATCTTGGACGCGTTCCCAAATAGATTCTACCTTTCGTTTACGAGGTGCGAACCAAACGGGCCTAAAACCCACTTCGTCAAAACTTGCCTAATGACATATTGTAAAATGAATTTAATACTAGATGGCATGGGATCTAAGTCTTGTTGGCGAAATTTCAGTTCCATTATGTCCATTTCGGCGATATGGCAATGATACAATTATTTACTTTTTATTATATTTTATACGTGTGTTGTTACTTATAAATATTTTGTATTCTATTAATATTAAAAAATAATTAAATATGATGTAAGAGCATATTAGCGTTCCCCGTGCCAATTTTTTAATTACTTTTTACCTTTATTCCCATTTTACTCAAATATTCGATCAAATAAAAATTCATCTACGGTAATTGCACTTGTAATTCTTTTTAATTTTACTTTTGGCATGATTATTGATGAAAAATATCCACAAATTAAATGATACAAAAAAAGACGTGATGATGGTTACACACAAAATAGGTACTTTATTATAATTAAACGGTAATACTATATTCTTAATTTCCATCGAGTAACTAAAAATTATAAAAGTAGTCCGATCAGATCATCCATGTTGACTATCATGACCACCATGAATCAATCAATACACAGTATAAAATGAAGTCCGTTCTTTTTTTCGACATAAACTCCGAAAGTCTTGGTCAAGTCTCGGGAAAGTTTAACACACAAGCAAAACACATAACATTGCCAAATCGAGGAACGCTGTAGACACTTTTATGAAAAGGAAAAATATGGTTGGAGACAAGTGTCCACCTTGAGAGACACCAGACTCAGCTATAAATATACGAGACTTGGAACCGAAAATCTAAACCCATTGAAGCCTATTTAGTAATTTTTTTTAGTAAATAGGAATACATCCACCCCAGTAAAGGGTGGCCGAAGCAAAGTGACGCCAGCACAGATTGTATAATTACGTCTACTTGGGATCCATTTTTGAAAGCATCATAAATGTAGTGACAGAAAGTAATGCTCCAAGTTTTAATTGAACGCCCTGGACGGAAACCGTGTTATTGATCAATCACGTCGGAATTTAAAAAGGGCCTAATACTATCCAAGACTAGCGATTCATACGTTTTTGAAAAATTAGAAAGAATAGATATTCGAATATAAGAATATATATGGTTTTTTACCTCAGAAGTTGTACCGGTTTTAGAAAACGGAGTTATGTGGTTGATTTTCCAAATTCCAGGGAAAACGCCTACATCAAGGGATTGCCCAAAAAATAACCATAATAGAAAAGAGATAATTAGTCTAAGCTAGTCTGTACCGTCAGAACCAACCGAAAATTGAAAACTCCTGTAATAAATAAGATTTAACAAATATTTCAGTCAGTTTTAATTTGTGACACGATTGTTTTTCCTGTAAGTTTTTATTTTCTAACCAAAAAACAATTTGTGCGATGACTTCTTAAGTGAAATTATTACACATATCTAGATGTTAAAATATGTCAAACTACATAAACTTAATGCTACTAAATATTACTAATTATTTAATTTTTTTTTTATTTAGCTATTATTATATTTTGTTGTATATAATACTAGGTATAACTGTTTTTAATTATAATTGCACATTAAATGGTATGCCCGTTCATGAAAATATAGAACTGTAGTTATATAGATACTCATCCTTGAAAAATGATTATGATAAAATATTCTAAGGCTGTTTTAAAAATCAAGTAATAAAATAAATAGATAAAATTCCCTCAGAATCTATAAATTAAAACGATTCGGTAATATAACGTTATTTTTCTACACGATTACGATTTTTACCCTCCTACCTAGTATTAATTTAAAATTGAAATATAAAATTATAGCGTATAATAAAGGAAGGTTTATTAAAAAAAACCTAATCAATATGATTTAAAAATAATTTAAATGAATAATACCTCTAAATTTTCATAGGTATCATCATCTGTTTTAAATAATTCAGAATCTAACTTTACTGTAGTGTTCAAGTTAACGACATTACTAATGATATCGAACACATTCTTGCATTGTGGTAATTTCTCAAGAACTTCTGAAATTAATTCCTGGTAAAAAATTATTATTTATTATTAAAATTATTTTTAAAAATATTAAATATTGTTTCAAGATTTTTAAACAACTCGGTTTTTGATTGAATTATGATTAGTTAAACCGAAAGACGTTTAAAACATATTAGAACAAGATAAGTCAACAATTTAATATTTTCACAAATTAATAGCTATCGCTGAGTTGTTGCAACTCAATTGTATGTAAAATAAACTATATTTGTATGCATTATCATAATTATTGGTAATCAATAGTGTTAAACATTTTACTTCGTAAGGTCGATAATTTTCAAGTACTTCAGGCGTACGTGATTCTTTTTTCAAATTCTCTGAGCGCATTTTTGCCAACTCAATTTGTTTATGAATATCTACAAGCTCCACTTTTTTTCTCTCGTATATTTTTTCCAAACTATGGATTTTTTCCAGGCGTTCCTTTAATAATTTAATGTTCAAAAAAAGATTATTTAAAAATAACATAAACCATATTTACTTGTACAGTTAAATATATAACATTAAAGTATCTGGACCATTATAATTTAGAAGATGTTTTCATTTCAGTCATATACGAGGGCTAATCAAAAAGTATCGAGACTGATAATATTACTCGGAAACCGAGCGTTGAAGAGCAAAACGATTTGTAAACCTAGCTTCTATGACTTATACTGAGCACATCTATTCGTATAAAATCTCTATGAACTTCATCGTTTTGATTTGACGATATTTTTCTAAAATTTGTTTTTCACGTTTGGCGATTTCGTAATGAATCCAAAAGAAGCGGAACTCGCTGCCACTCGAGGGCACATTTTCAGTTTTTCAATTGACATTTAATGGCAAAAACCATGAAANGAAAAATATATTTTACAATAATGTCAGTGAAATCAAACCGAAGAATTTTATAGAGAAGCAATAAAAACAAATGTACTCAGAAAAAGTCATAGAAGCATGTGATACCAATCCTACTGCTCTTCGATGCTCCTTTTCCGAATGATACTACTAGTCTTGATACTTTTTGATTAGCCCTCGTATATTGAATATTTCTTTCATGAAAAAAAAAAATATTTGTGTAAATCTCAATTAGTTTCATTGAGATTTACCGTATGCTCAATAAAAGTGTTGTGACTATGTTGTATGATTCGGGGTTAATTAGCTAGGAAAAAAATAGAGCCTATATTCTGTTACAAGAGAGATTGGGCATCTCTCAAACCAAACCCGGTCGCTGCCGCATATCTCAACTCCACAACCTCACCCATCAATCCCTTGCCGGATCAAATGAAAGCGCTGCATCAACAAACGCAGACCTTATGCAAGTGTCATACAGAGCATATCACAGGAACAAGAACCAGAACCGAAAGAACCGGCTCTGAAACCGGTCTTCGGGGAAAATCTGGGAACCAAAACCTTTATTGGAACCAATATTTCCCAATTCAATAAATCGAAGCCGAAATCAGAACCTTTTAAATAAAACACAAATATTTTCAGTTCTTTTGGATTTTTATCGGTTCTAAGAAATAGCTGAACATTATATTTAATTTACGTTAGTTTTAATTCAAAAAATACTAATGACTAATAATCTTTGCGGTTGAAATCTTATTTCAAATAATATTAAAAATAAAATAAAGACGTCCTAGGATAATAAAGATAGGTGCACTGAGTTTACCCAGTTTTATAGGTAATTTAAAATATACCTGTAAGCAAAGATAAACCATTGCTTACGAAAAAATGATTCTGAGCCGAATTCAGTTATTAGTGATGCTTTGTCAACAACATATAAGTCATATTATAATTAAAAAAATTAAATTTGCTTTCTATGTTCTCTTTAATAATGTTTATTTCATGTTGTACCGATTTTCCTAATTTTCTTAAGTTTTTTACGGTTTTCTCATGTTTTTTCCTGGTTTTACACATTTGCTTGGGAAACTCTCGAGAAAATCGAAAAACTACTTCTCTAAGGTACTTCCTCAGTTTGATTTCCTTTCTGAAACATCGCTATCATTTAAAATCAAAGAAAAATACTGGTAGAAAATTTATTCACAGGAAAAAAGAAGGCCGTAATATATTTTAACTAATACTTATATTTCGTACATTTTCCCATTTTGTCAACATTTTTTCCTGGTTTTTCTCAAAAAGAGATATCGGTAAAAAAAATAGTAAAAATTGTCAAGGGCAACGCTGGGTGGATCAATTAGTAATATTACACAATTTTTAAAAATTAGGGCTGATATTGCTAATGGTTATGTCACCATTGTAGGTGAGAATTAGGGTGATCAACCATAAAACATTGTTATTTAATTTATATATGTACACAACGATAAATCATAGGTTAAATGTACTTTTGTTTTAAATGATTCTTCGTGAAGATGTTTGTTAAATTCCGTCTTTTCTCTATTTAATTTGTTTTCACTGTATATTAATGCGTCTCCTTCTCTTTTGACTTTTTCAAGCAAACCAAGTGCATGTCTTTTATCTACTAGTGTTTCGTATGTCCTATTAAGAATTTAAAATTAATTGAAGTTTGAATTTGATTGTTATAGGTGATTGTTTCGTTTTATGCTTACAGTCTCATGAGCTCTTTAGCCATCCTTTAATTTTTTAACCGATTCTATATTAAAAGATTTATAAAATGCATTTATATAAAATAAATTTCAGAAAACTAAACACCAAATAATGTTAAATACATGCAAAATAACAGATAATTGTTACTGTGGTAAACTCAGCCAGTTTTAAAAGATATATATGATTGCATTTGATGAAACTATTTAAGAATAGCTATTATATAAATAACGAACAACGAACAACTTCGGGAAATATGATAAGGACGATGATAGGAAAATAGAAAAGGTCTTTTGTCGACTTCGATCTGCTTGTATTTTTGTTGTTCTCGCCCTCCCGACCAGATTCGCGTGTCCATTAAATCGTGTGTATTTTGAACTGGTTACCGAGACATTAATTCGAAGGAACTATCTACCGGTGCGGTCATTTTAGGTACCGACAGAGCGCAGCAAACGAGGTACGTTTATATTCAGGTGCGCGAGCGCTATTAGCCGTTGATGACCTGTTATTATACGGCCATCTATTGTGTCACGTTAAAATTATTAAAGAAATATATAATGCATAAAATATAATTATTTTACCATTATATGGTATACACATCGTTAACAAAGCAACTGCACTTCTTTCTTTTTGTGTTTTCGTTAGCAATAGTTTATCGCTGCTTGCATATATATATTCAATTTCCCCTCTAATACCTGCCCAACTTTTCTCTTATAACAGTGGCTGCACCCGTCCCCATTATCCTAAGACAGCTTTCTCTTTGTATACAAGTATATTTATTAACACCCCCTTCCTAGTAAATTTCAGAACACTTTCCTGACCGTTTACGAGCCACCACTGGTTTTATGTCATCATCAGAACGATAATACCAGTATAATCGAAAATTTTAATAGATTATTAAAATCAGATTTTGAGTCAAACAAGGATAATGTTCTTGCTTGGATAATTGGGAACCACTGTTATAGGTGGCCACTATTATAGGTAGAAGAATGTGTAAAATTTTATTAGATAAGTTTATTGTCTAAAACTTTTGAAAAACTATTAGTACCGAAATTTACAATCGTTTTTAATAAAGTAGTTTCAGATAATCAACACGGGTTTTGTCATTCGAAGTCAACAACGACCAATTTATTACTCTACTATATTGATCTTATATCACTAATAAGTAAAGGTATTCAGGTTGATAGGTTCTGTATACACTGATATTAAGAAAGAATTTGATAGTGCCAACTTATCTATTCTGGTAAAAAAATAGAATGTGTTGGCATTATTGGACAAACATGGCTTAAATAATCATATATAACATATTACATATTTTAACATTTTTTGTTTAAAAAAAAATATACCAAAATAAAAGATTGGATACCAGTTAAAACCAATTTTAACCGAAACCTAAATTTTCAACTTTCTAAGGTACCGAAATCGTCAAACCATTAAGGTCTCAGTCTCTGACTAAAACAGTGCAATATAATATGCCTACTAAATAAAACAAGTAATTGCCTACACACAATTCCTATGACACGATTATCTATTTCCAATAATTATTTTATGCTATTATTTTTAATATTTTAAAGCACAATAGCTCAGGAACTTTTCATTAAAAAATTTTGATATATCAAAATATGTTAAAACTTACAAAAAAAATCATCTGATTTATAATTCACAATAAAATATTTAGGTTACCATTTAAAAAACTAAAATTGGTGTCACCACAGGTACTCCTAAAATATTGTGAAAAATCTAAGTACTCGAAAATATCGCATTTAACTACACTTAAAAATTCCAAAAATCAGAATTTGAATATATGCTAAATTTAACCAAAAAAAAAAAAAAAGACGAGGAGAGCACGCTCAGTGAATCATTCAATATTGTTGAATGAACTTAACATATTTATGTCAAGTTGCATAAAAACCATTTTATAAATACATTATTGATTTCATAAAGTATTTTAATGATAGATAAATATTAAAAAGCTTTGCACAAAAAATTATCATAAAATATAAATTTTACCACATACCATAATAGTTTTTTAATCTAAATCTATGGTTGATAACAGATATATAATTGATAAATTAAATTAATTTTCAGAAAAATCTTAATTTATTTTTATATTTATTATTAAATTATAATTTGTAGCACAATGGGTAAAATTGATTATTTATCTAACAAAGAAAAATTATTAACAGTACTCCCTCGTTAACACGAACTCCGTTTAAAAAACGTCACAGTAAAATAAAATCGACCGTAAAAACATGGTTGCATAGTTGAAAAAAATACTCGGGCCTTGTTTATCGTAGAAACATGATTTGAGTAACAAAAGTAAACTTGAGAACAAAAACCATGCATCGTTGGGAACCGAGTTTTGGTTTTTTTTTTTTTTTTTGTTTTTTGGCAATTTTCTATTAAAAAAGTTTAAAAAAGTATAAATTTAAATTATCAAAAAAAAAAAATGATTTCTTTTTTCATGAACAACTTTTCTGCCAGCAATTTTTTCCAGATTTATATAGATAGAACTATTTTTGAAAGAAAATCTGACTGAAGAGGTACTTAAGGGAGATCTTTTTTTGATTTTCCCAGGAGTTTTCCCAATTGATGGGAAAAATCGCGAAAAACGTAGGAAAAACGGAAAAATAGATACTACATTAAACAAATATTTTTAAAAAAACTATCGTTGCTTATAGAAATACATTAAATATCCCTTGTACTATCTTCCCAACTTCTCATCTACAACAGTGGCTACATCAGTCTCTATTATCGATTTTCTCAGGAGTTTTTTCAGCAAATGTGAACAATTGACATCGTCATGTAAAGGTCCTTTACAGTTATAGCGCTAAAGCAGTATTAAACTCTGGTAAACTTTCCAAAATTGGTAATACAAATCACTACGTACCTAAAAATAATGTTTATAAGCTAATGGGTGGCTTGTCTCCTATTCTCTCTTCTCCTTGATTTTCTTCTATTGAAAACAACACTCATTTTCGTACATTTTTCACAATCTATTTAAATATATTATACAAATTAATAGAATATATAAGTCGTACTGTGATAACAATATATATTAATAATAATTAGTAATATAATTTCACAAATAAGTATAATTAATGATACAGCAATAAAATATATCTAGAAGTTATAGTAAAATAAATATTTGATAAAAACAAATCAAAAAAAGTAGGACATATTTTGAAAATGGATGGGCCACTGTTGTAGTTGAAAAAAGTGAGATTGTAGAAGGGAAATTTAATGTATATCTGTATACAACCATTAACTGCAAGAAAGTTGCTCACAAGAAATGATTTTGAGCGGAATTTGGTTAACAGTATTGCTTTGTAATCAATATATAATATGTCATATTATGATAAAATAATAATATAATATGCATTATAAATTTAATATTATAATATTAAATATTTGTTTAATATTGTATTTATTTTCCGATTTTTTTCCGGTTTTTCTCATTTATTGGAAAAACATCTGGGAAAATAAAAAAATGACCTCTTTAAAGTACTATTCCAGTTATACTACCTTACAGAAAAAGTGTTATCATTGTAAATCGAAGCGAAATTGCTGATAGAAAAGTAGTTCAAAGGAAAAAATAAGTTCGTAATATCTTTTCCTAATACCCACATTTCGTACATTTTCCGTTTTTTCTCCTTTTTTTCCCCGGTTTTTCTCAATGTTGGTAAAGTTAAAAAATTACATCCCATAAGTACCACGTAGATAAAATTTCATTTCATAAAAGGGGCCACACTTGATACATCGGAGTAAGATTTCTGGTAGAAAAGTTTGCACAGCAAATCAAGGGGTATTTTGCGATTAAAATAATCCGAGCGAGCGACAGCTAGGTTTCAAGGTACACCTAATATTCATTTGTCTTTTCCCTGTTCAGGTAAAATGGAAAAATAAGTGCAAACAACTTTTTTTGAAACACGGGTTTGATTTGTTACCCTTAACTGTTCGGCTATGACAAACATACTTTAAAGAAGACAATACAGAGTTATTTAATATAACATTTAGTACCCGCATCAGAACTTCAAAAAGCTATAATTTCGAAACTGAGAACCCAGGTATTTTTCAATTTAAATAGTCCAATTGAGATCTAAGGTTGGGTCTAAGTACATCTATTATGGGCGAGACTCTTCTGGATTAAAATCGTACCCTTCCCTTATCGGTCGATTCACTTTTCAGCCTAAACAATATACTAAATTACTAAGCATGTCACATATATTGAAAAGTATAAAATATTCAAAACGAAAGTTTAATTTATACTTATAAACAAATTATATTTATGTATTTATATGTATATTGTATATATATATATATATATATATATTATAATAAAAGATAATTATATTTTATAACACCTACAATTATAATTTAAAAAAAAATTATATTTTGTTTGAATTTGTAAGTCTGGTTCACTTCATTTTAAATGTATACCTAAAAATACAATAACTATATTAAGTGAAGTAAATCGACCGAAAAAGGAAGTTTACTATTTTTGTTGAAAACGGTTATGCTCTCTATAATGGCTTTGTTTTTTCCCTATTTAGGTAAAAGAGAAAAAACAAATGCAAACATATTTTTTTGGAGCACAGATTTGAATTCGTGATCTTATATTAGGATGATTATATATTATATATCTTATATTAGGATTATATTAGGATGACGTTAGTTAAGTAACACTAGACTACAACAAATATTTAAAATTGACAATACTGAGTTATTTAACATAATACGCACATAATATTAGTATTTCAAAAAGTTATACATTTTAAACTAAGTCAGTTTGCTCAATTCTGACTTCACCGTCGTTCTTAAACCGGCAATATACATCTGTTAAAAAAAAATAAAGACGTTCTAGGATAATAGGGTGATAAAATATTTTTCCCGGTTTTTCACATTTGCTTGGAAAACTCTTGAGAAAATCGAAAAATTACCACTTTAAAGTACCTCCCCAGTCAGATTTCATTTCTAAAAAAGTGCTAACATTGTAAATCGGAGCAAAGTTGCTGGTAAAAAAGTTGTCTACAGAAAAAAAAATGTCGTTGTATTTTACTAATGTACGATGTAATGTCTCGTATTTTGTACAATTTTCCCGTTTATCACGATTTTTCCCATTTATTGGTAAACTCCTGGGAAAATAAATAATTATCTCCCCAAGTTACCACGAAGATAAAATTTCTATTCAGAAAAAAAGCTTTACATCGGAGCAAGATTTTTGGTAGAAAACTTTGCACAACAAATCGAGAAGCATTTTGCAATTAAAATAGCCCGAACGAGCGATCAGCTAATTTTTTTCTGAGGACAACTTTTCTACCAGCATTTTCGCTCCGATTAAAAATAATAGACATTTTTCTAGAAGGAAATCTTTTACTGAAAAGGTACTTTAGGAAAGTCATTTTTTTGACTTTCCTCGGGAAAAATATAGGAAAAACGGAAAATAGGTACAATGTTATACGAATATTACTAAAGAAACTATATAATGCTTATGTAATTATGTTACTATAAAATGCAACTTAACTCCGCTCAGAATCGTTTTTTCGTAAGCAATGGTTTATTATTGCTTACAAGTGTACATTAAATATATATAACAGTAGCTGCATCCGTCCCCATTATCCTAGGACGTCTTTTTCTTCCTTGTAGTTATTTAAAAACCATTGTCAACTTAATTTTAAAAAAGCCTAAAATATATTTGGGCGAAACGGATCCGAATGTACCCCAGTACATTAAGAGTTACCCAGGGTACACCAGGAGGAAGTGAACCGGCTTATACCCCAAAAATATTTGTTTATTTTTTATTTGTATTATTTTATATTTTTCTTGCATTGATTGATTTGGGGTGAAATCTAATAATTTGTCAATAAGATTTCGGACGCACTCGGAAAAAGGAAAAAATGTTAAACGAAACGGACTCGGGTATTCCCTTAAAATAAGATTCTTATAATTTGAGTATAAGACTGAACAAATCATACCCGAGCCATATTTTTAAGCAAATAATTCGGTTTTATAGTAAGTAAACTGGTATGCATATTCTTCTCACGTGTTTAAATTTGTTGCTAACAATTTACATAAATCTATGGACGGGAATATGACCTATAAGGCAATTTATGTTTTATTTTAAATTGCCAGTGTGTAAATTATAATATTTTCATAAGAAAGATTTATATTAATTCTGTAAATACAAATAATAAAATGACGGCATCACGCTTTAATTAGTATAGAAATAATTTTTAATAATAATTAGGAACGGTTAGATAATACAATTAACGATTACGAAAAAACCGTTCATATCCGTTGAATATATTAATTATGTATAGTAAAATAATATTACTTATTATCCGCGGCCTTTTTTATCGGCTAGCATTAAATAGTGAAAACGATAAGCAACAATAAAAAAGTTTATTCGTTTTTATTTATTATTCGTAATCTAAATATTAATTACAATGTGTGGGTCGTTAAAAAATAATAATTGGTCTTATACGAAATTTAATAATATTATATTCTGGTGATTTAATTTTGTGACGTAATAACAATTTATGTTTTGTTCATATCATATTCTTTCGGTCATAATATAATTTTTTTATATACACATTAACGAGTTCAAAGAGTTCAGAGTAAAAAAGATATAAAAAAAGAAAGGTAAAGTAATGGGGACGGTTGCAGCTACTGGTATAGGTAGGAAATTGGAAAGGTAAGATATAGACAATAATTTAACGTATATCTGTAAGCAATTATAAACCATTGCATACGAAAAAACGATTCTGAGCGGAATTAAGTTGATAGTGATGTTTTTCAACAATATATATGTCATTTTGAATTAAAATAATTAAACAGGTTTTATATATTTTCTTTAATAAAATTTGTTTAATGTTGTATCTATTTTTCTATTTTCCCGATGTTATCCCAGTTTTCCTACGGTTTTCCCGGTTTTTCCATGTTTTATCCCAGTTTTTCAAATTTTTTAGGGAAATTCTTGAAAAAATCAAAAAAATGATCTCTCTAAAGTACCTCTCAAATGAAATTTTCCTTTAGAAACATTGCTGTCATTAAAAGTTTGAGTAAAATAACTGGTAGAAAAGTTGTCCAGAGAAAAAATAAATCGTAATATTATACAAATATATTTCGTATCTTTTTCCGTTTTTCCTCAGTTTTTTAGGTTTTTCAAGTTTGATGAAAAATTCCCCTTTAAAATACCTCCCCACGCCGATTTCCTTTCGAAAAAAGTGCTATATGTGGATTTCCGAGGAAGACTTCTGGTAATGATAGCAATGTTTCTAAAATGAAATTTCACTAGGGAGGTACTTTAAGCAGGTCATTTTTCGATTTTCACAGGAGTTTTACTGGCAAACGAGAAAAACCGGGAAAAACGGAAAAATTTCTACAATATTAATTAATTATTATTAAAAAATATATATAATGTCTATTTAATTATTTTACTATAATAAAACAAATATATTGTTAATAAAGCATCACTATCGTCTTAACTGCGCTCAGAATGGTTTTTTCGTTAGCAATAGTTTATCGTTGCTTGCAGATATACATTAAATTATCTATAACAGTGGCTGCACCGGTATCCATTATCCTAGGACTTCTTTTTTTATTTTGCTTTCTTATAAGCTTAGATAGATGTATTTTAATTTTTAATCTAACTTTATTTTAACCTAACCAACATACATACATTTATACAATAGTAAATTGTATTCATTTTTGGTATACCTATTACAGATTTTTATATTATATCTATATGTAGTTGACAAGGCTGAGCATTAACGAGATAATAATTTAAAAGTTAAGTTATTTTAACTTATTAATGTGATATTTTAATTGGATTAACTTCAACTTTAACTTTAATCTAACTTATTCACCTCTACATTAACTTGAAATAAACTTAAACTTTTTTAGTGTTTCCAATTATGTTAATATGAATTTTCATATTATCCAGAAAAATATTTTATTTTTTACTATTGTTAATAGATTTAAGAACAATTAGAATGTAAAAAATCATAAAATATTATTAGAAAAAAAAAAAATAATTAAGACAATATACTTACAAATAATTTAATGTTATATTTACAGATAAAACTAATTTATCATAATAATAAAGACGTCAATAACCACGACCCATGAATTATATTCACAATACTTACTTGGGTGTTGCTTAGGTACTACCTATCTATCGTTAAAATTTAATAGATATTTTGAATAGAAGTTTATAATTAATAAGTAGTTTTTTGTATTTCTTTATGTAAGTTATTTATTTTAACTACTTTTAACCACTTTTACACTAAAATTTAATTTCAAGTAATCTCTGACTCTGAATTATGACTAGAGTTATAAAAATACTAAGATTTTAAAATACATACATTTCATATTTACATTCCCTTTTATTAGGTATTTTAATTTTTAATACCTTATGAATGAATTTTTTTTTTTTAAATTAACTTAACTAATTAACTGTATTTAAGTTAAATTAATGGCAGATTTTAACTCAATTTTTAATTTAATAATAATTTAAAATATTTAACTTAACTGAATAAAAAAAATATCATTAACTTGCCCATCCTTAGTAATTTAACATAAAATGCATATGGTAAAATTACCAAAAACATTTAAATTATAACTCCTACTTATTAACGTGCCACTAGCTGTTATTGATTTTAATATTAGATCGTTAACCAAATTAATCATGTCTTAATATTGTATTTTATTTCAACATTTATAATATATGTGTAACGTTTTTTTTTGGAAATTAAATATTGTTTAAATATTCAGTACTAATTTTTTAACTTACTAAATAAATATCGAGTTCAATTTAAACTGTTTATTTCGTAATACAAACTACAGTGGATTCAGTATTACTGTTTAAAACAACAAATGTAAATCTAATGCAAAATAAATAAAAATACAATATTAATTGAGTATTGAACATTGGAAATTAATATTTATTAAATATTCAGTCAATATATATATGTTGAGCATTCAGAAATAATAATAATAATAATTGATTAAGTATACACTGAGCTTTATTGCTGGTACTACCATAGGTACATAGCACTGAACATTTATAAATTAATAACATTTGTGTAACTAAAATATAACTATCTTGGTTTTTTTTTTCATTATCGTACATTTATAATACATATTATTATATTATAATTATTGGTAAAAATATAATGATGGATATATTTAATGTTAATTTTATTTTATAGGTATATAATTAAACCTATATTTTATATTTTAATATAATATTAATTAACGTATCATGATCTAAAATCTAAAAAAAGATGCCTAAATGACACTTAATACAGGATAATAATTAAGCTTTTTATTTATTTAATACAATTTGTTTTATTAACATTGACTCACTAGTGGACTGTCGATAATATATTATTTCGTTACGAGTCCAATGGTTGCCGATTGTATTGTTCGTCCCTGATGGCTACCGCTGCTACGAGGGCTGCCCCACGTCCGCTTCCGTCTTCGGACAACATCAGGTCGAATTTAATTTCGGGGTTGACCAGTTGTTTAATTTTTTCGACCATGATCTTATGAAAGTAAGGATGGAAACGGTAAACGGAACCGTCGACACCGATCGTGACGGTCTTCTCACTCATTTTATTAAGTAACGTGGCCAGACCGGCGGAAACCAAGTGAGCCGACCGTTTAGAAACGCATTCGCAAATGAATTGCACGTTGGCACAATCGACAAACGATGGTTTGACGATGCCCATTTCATTGAGTACTTTCAACGTCTCTTTATAGTTTGTCTCGTCGCTTTCAATATCTGATACGAAGGACGTGTCGAACGTTCCGGGTGTTTTCATCTGTTCGGATAGTCTTCCGTCGAACAATTTTTTTTGATTCGTCAAATCTACAATGACCATTCTCACGATCTCGCCCATGTACATACCGCTGATCATTTTCTCAAATCTCTGGTGTCCTGGATTCAATGAATTTTCGTCGAGTTTACGGTCGTATATCGTACGGATTGAATCTATTATTCCGTCGTCTCCGAACGCGCCCCATTCTGTATTTACGATTACATGTGGTTTTGATTTGTCACCAATGAACAGCTCCGCATTTTCGACTTTTTCAACATAACAAGCATTACACCCAGTTCCAACAATAAGTCCGATTTTGGTGTTTGGATTCTTCCAAGCGCATGACATGATTGTGCCGGTTGTGTCATTCAATATTCCACACACATCAATCTCGATGTCATTTCTCCTTTTAATGGCATCTTTGAGAAGCTTGACAACGTCTTCATTTACAACTCCAGAACAGTTAAACCCTTTAGTCCAACTTTCTAAATATCCTTTGGTTAATCCTATTTGCCTAAGTGGAAAACTGAATGTAAAGCCCAACGGTAATGCCTTTTTATTGTCCAAATTATGTTTTTTTACAAATTCTGCCAGACATTTAGCAATGTGATCGAATAATTCAGTACCTTTGCCAGTCTGAATATGAGAAGGTACTTTAAAAATTTCAGAGTCCATATGAAAATATTCATTTTCTCCCAATTCGATAAATAATATACGGAAATTTGTTCCGCCCAAGTCTAAAGCCAAGAATTTACCTCTTTCTGTACCATTGGGCAGATCTTGAATATAGGTAACAAAGCATTTGACAATAGAGCTCGGGTTAGTTTCTTTGCCCAAACCATTTTTGATGGCTTTATCCATGTCATCCATTATGGTACCAAGTTGTTCATTTGACAAAATAAATGGCGTGCAGTCTTCTTTAATAGTGACTTTATAAGCTGACAAAGATAATGGCGTGGCTTTGGTAAACAAGCCGTACAAGGCGCGTAGGATCGGATTGATTACATTACACATGATAATAGTTGTGAACGAGTGACAACTGGTGAAAAGAGCAAACGAAAAACGGATGTGGCCGAATGAAATAATCAACTGGCGAAAAAACAAAAAATACACACGCAGATAATTTCAAACGGTTTCTCGGAAGGACAGCAGCGACACACTGCCTGTAACATACACTGCGCGCAAACAACTGTCAGTCAGCGTCGGCAATGACGACGATGATGAGACGAACAAAAGGTGAGTACTAACGAATGATAGAAACTAGGAGGTTAGGTTGCCGGATTAAATTAAAAAGATACCGGTCAACATCAATTATCAGTTTATTATTTAATTTGGTAGTGTTTACATAATTTTATGTTCGTTATCATTTTTTTTTTCATATAAACTGGCGGAAAAAATCTGGATCTTTCATAAATCGTATTTACGTACATATCAACAAATTTTTATGGATCTGCAAATGTATGTTTTTATTTTTTTTTTTTTTCATAGGTAATATAATTTTCATGTAAAATATTTATTCATGAAATATATTTAAATTAATTATTTAGTTATATAGTTATATTTGGTTATATTCTAATATAAATTATTTTCTTTATTTTTTAAAAAAGAGTGTTCACTAAAATGGTTATACGAACACTTTTGTTCAGTGACCTCTGATTGAAATGAAGTTTTCAAGAGAAGATAAGAAATACTGAAATACACATTTTGTATGGATTTTCAAATTTTTTAACCTTTCAGTGTATGCACGCGCAGTAAAACTTGCATTGTTTTAAATGAAAATACCTATTTACAGCACTTGATTTAGATAAACCATTTTTTTTTTTTTTAAACAACTTATACAAATAAACTTTTCCTTTATCTTTAAAATTGACTGAAATATAGCTAGTTAAAGTTGAAACAAAATTATTTTATTATTATTAAATTTATTTATTTTAAATAATTTATTACAAAAAATCAGTCATCATTATCTTATAAATTGTTCGAAGTTTTTCTATTATGTTTTAAACATACTTCTGAACGTTATATAACTTCATCTTGAGAAGCTGCCATAATTTGCTTATCAGCTGTGCACATGCTTCAATGATTTTCACTATTTTAAATTCTGGAGACTAATCGGTGGAGCAGCATAAACTACAGTTTTAAATGTCTCCGAAGAAAAAAAATATAGAGACGTCAAATCAGGCGAACACGCCGGCCAAGCTGTCGGTCCATATGTCCCCATTCAACGATTTTCAAATGTGCTACTTAAATATTGTCTTACAATAATACTATTGTGCGTGGGAGCACCATCTTGTTGAAAAAGTACGTTTTCCCAAATATCTAATGGAACATTCACTAACAATGATGGTAAATGGTTAGAGAGAAAATTTAAAATTTTCTTCCATTTAATGTTCCATCATAAAAATAGGGGCCTATTATAAAACCTCCAATTAATCCACACCATACATTTGTTGGATGGAGACATGGACATACACATGGACCGACAGCTTGCCTGGCGCGTTCACTTGATTTCAATGCTCTCAATTTATTTCATTGGGTACATTTAAAAATTGTAGTTTATGCTGACCCACCGATAAGTCTTCAGTATTTAAAACAAAAAAAATCACTGAAACACACGCACAAGCGACAAACAAATTGACAGCTACTCAAGATTCAGAATAATAATTCTTAATAATATTTCAACTTTAACCAGTTGTATTTTGGCCAATTTTTGAGATAAGGGAAAAATGTATTTATATAAGTTGCTTAAAAAAAATAGTTTATTCAAATCAAGTGTTGCAAATAAATGTTTTTATTTTAAAAAATGCAAGTTTTATTGCACATGTGCACACTGAAAGGTTATGAAATTTGAAAATCCTTAGGAAATGTGTATTTCCGTATTTCCTATCTTCCCTTGAAAACCCCATTTTAATCCGAGGTCACTGGACAGATATATTTTGTGTTTTTTTAGTGAAACGAACTGTAGATTTATTATTATTATAGTAAAAATTTGATCTCAAAACGTGTATTAAAAAAAAAAAAAATAAACGAAGTTCTGTTATACACTAAAAAAAATACTCTATTATCCAGAACTTTTTAGCACTTAGTACAACTTCTAATAAACTTCGTATCAAATAATTTTAAAACATTTTTGTTTGGTCGAACAATTTTATCCAAACAGTACCTACCAGAGCAAAAACTACGTAAAAAAAAAAAAAGAGCCAATACTGGAGACGGGGGCAGCCATTGATGTCGGTAGAAAGTTGATAAGATAAAACGCATAAAGTAAATAAAGCTGTATAATTTATATTTGTATGCAAAGAATCTTGGTAAGACATGTTTTGAAATGCCGTACTTTTTTACGATTTTCGTCAAAACTTGAACTATAATTGCTTATGGAAGAAAAACTAATGCATTAAACTCAAATTTGTTTTTAAGACTAAGTGGTTTTCTTTCCAGTTTTTCCCATTTATTTTGAAAAACCCTTTATTAAAAATTCCATAAATAGATGGAGTATTATTGTATATTATATTATACCAATATTAGTTGAAATAAATTTAAATGTTGAAATTTTTGATTTCCGTCAAGCTGTTGACGAGATATTCCACTTTTAAGTTTGGGTTAGAGGAGAGTAGTAGTGCATTATTATTAACCCGACATCTGTCGTACCGCCACACAAATGATACTTCACTATTCTCCTTTAATCCAACCTTAAATGTGGAATGTCTCATCAACGGCTTGACAGAATTTAGACATTTAAACACCAAAATTTAATAATACTCCGTTTATTTATGGAATTTTGAATAAAGGTTGCCATTTGAAAATCAAAAGTAGATAGTTGTTTTACTCATAAAAATGAGGGTGACAAAAAATAACACGAATAATTATATTGTAGAGCTCATTATTTTTGAAATGCTCTAGAAAAACAAATTCTGCAAAAATTAATACTTTTCGAGATAATAAGTATACCCACTTAAATAAATCACCTGGTATTCAAATAACAGAACGATTTTAAGATCAGTCAACACCAATCTATAATGAATAATCACTTTTTTAAATGGAATACTATATGCAAATGATATTGACATCAATTTTAATGCAATTATTAATATGTTTACATCATATAATACAGTAGGTACTATAAACCTGAAAGGGCCGGACCCGGGCGTCAGTCGTTTCCACTAAAATACTTGATTTTCGTTTCCGCCAAAACGAAAAAGGTTCAATTTTGATTTCCGCCAAATTGATTTCCACACCTATATTATTGAGATGGAGTTTAAGAACCCGTAGTTTATGTACAGTGTTATCGATCATCGATGTACGTCGAGCAGTAGCGGCGTATAAAAAAAATGTACAGGGAGACTTAACATTTGTGTAGCTATTGGTTATTTATATTATAGATTTTTACTTGAAATATTATAGTTTGAGATACATTTTATTGGTTTTACTAAGATGTTTATTTTTTCTTTTTTTATCCTGTGTACAAAAATTCTACCTGAAATCTTATTACAATATGTATGCGTGGCACCATTACTAAAAAGACATATCGTCCAGATGGTACTTTTTAGTGGTAATTTTTTGATTCTCCAAGCGATTTAAAAAAATATCTAGGCCATTTCTAGGGTTTTTATAAAAATTTTAATATTTTTGTTGAGATTCAGTTAAAAATATTTGTATCACCTCTATGGATTTAAAATTTGGACAGAAAACTTATATTCGCTTTTTCTAGACGTGGTAGAATTTTCAAAAAATTTAATCCATTTTTGAGCTATTTATAGACATTTTAATTTTAGGAGTTTTATACGTATTTTTATTCGGTAGGTACTTAAATATTGAATAGTTACATTACTATAAATCCAGCGGAGGATCACCTCTATCGTCCACCTCCCTAAAATACGCTCCTGATAGAGGCGCTGAAATTCGTAGTTTTTATATAAGTATAGGTACCTACGTAGGAAGAAAGTAGCATACCACTATTCAGTAGTTACGCACTGTCACCGCACAAATGATGCTTCACTACTAACCCCTTACCCAAACTTAAAAGTGGAATATCTAGACAATGAGTTGACGTTAAAAAATGTTAACAGTAAAATGTACGAGAAAAAATAATGGTTATGTAACATTTTAGAGTTATTTGATTCTTAAATTCTCAAAAAGAAAGATTCCGGTAAAAGTTAGCAATTTTTAATATATTGCATTATATTATTATCTTCGTAATGCACTTTGTATAAATCAAAAATGTACACCTAAATAGTTTAAAATTATCGTTTTTACAACAATACGACGACTATAGGAAAGTGTACTACAGTGTCGGTTTAGTGCTTTATAGGGAGATAGTTTTTTCCTTTGGTCGATTCAGGCTTCCGATATTTAATGATTAAACAAGACCTTGTTTGACACGTACAGAGCATTGTTGTTATGCGATTAATCTTATCTGTTTATCGTTACGTTCATATTGCGTGAAACAAACTAAATAATTTCCAATCATGATATTGTGATCACTAGTAATTAATACATTTTAGCTGGCCAGAAAACAAGGTAACTGACCGATTATTTGGAGATGATATATCATAATATAAGGGTGTGTTACGGTCGCATCGTTTAAATAATTCGACCGAGAGACGCCTATCTGTATAAAAAAAAAATACATGATAGTACAATAATGTATACATTATACATGTTCGGCTATGCCCGATTTTATTAAAAAAAAAATACACATATGTGTATAGGAATCTGGTAACATGTATATTTTATATAAGTACATATATAAAATACAACTACGTTGTTAGTAATCCCGTGAGAACGTTCCGAAAAATCAAAAAAAAAAAAAAAACTTCGAATAAAATACGTAATTTATAGTGACACGATTTTCTCTCCTCTTTTTTTTTTTTACCCTCGGTATTTAAGTGTGTTTCAGTCGTAAATGACGCCGACTTAATTTAAATTAATATTATATAGATAGTATATAATACTATGATGGAATCAACAGGAATCCACGTCGACTTATTACAATATTATATAGTACCTATCATTTT